TAAAGTACAGTATCTGACAGTTTTCTTTTAACCAGACACTAGAAAATTGTCCAACATGAACTGACAGTCATGCAGGAAGGACAGATAAAAAGTAATTAGGTTTGGGGCTGGAGAGATGGTTCAGAGGTTAAGAGCACTGGTTGCTCTTCCAGAGGTCCTGCGTTCAATGCCCAGCACCCACACAGTGGCTCACAACCATCCATAGTGAGATTTGGTGCCCTGTTCTGGCGTGCAGGCATACATGGAGGCAGGATGTTGTATTCTTAATGAATAAATCTTTAAAAATAAGCAATTATGTTGCAATTAATGTGATGAGGATAAAATGGATCTATATGAGAAGCTGGAACTATTTTTTTCCTATTTCCTATCCAAAACTGTCAAAGAGGGTAGTTAATAGGATCTTATTTCTAAAGGACACTTCTATTTTGTTTGGTTTTTTATTTAAATTAGAAGCAAGCTTGTTTTACATTCAATCCCAGGGACACTTCTATTTTGAAAGACACCCCCGCTCCCCTATCTGCTGCACTAGATGGGAGACCACGTTGCAGTTGGAAGATGTCTTTAGTTCTGGGACCAATAGCTTGTTTCAGGATCAGTTTAGCATCTTCCCTTGCCTCCACAGCTTTTCATCTCATAGGATATAAACGTTCCCTGTTGCTCCCCTATTTCCCATCAGTTATACCGAGTATATGAAACCCTAACAAATTTAATACCCATTGTGGCCAGTAACACTCCGACTTGCTTACTCTTACCCCAACTTGGATTAGTTTGCATTCAAAACTGTTCATTTTGATGTGTAACTGGTGATCATCTACGTAGTTGGGTGTAAGTGAGTACAAAACAAAACACCGGGCACAGCCCTCTCCATGGAGGGAAAGAACCCCACCACTACCGCCACCCCACCCCACCACCCCACACTGCCTGGCTGCCTTTGACAATGGAGGACAGCAGCTAGCTTCAAAAGCTTGTTGGGTTCTATGAGTGGATGGCAGGGGAGGCTGTGCAGAAGCTGAAACAACCAGGTGTTTAGCCCAGGGAATGTTTAAGGTAGAGGAGGTGCTGTCAGTTGCTGTTAAAGCATTCAATCAGCCTTGAGGGGCTTCTGAGAAAGGCTTTAGCTTTCTGTTCCCTAACCAATTTCAGGTGGAAGCCAGGTCCTTGCCAGCAGCACTACCACTCTGGGCCTGATTTGGAGACCTAAAGTTCCAGCCCTTTACTGATGATAAAGGGTGAAGGTAGGGATTCCTCTTAAGCTGCTCCCTGCTGAACAGGGATGTTGGAAAAGGTGGGGCTTGGACTGCTGGTCCAAAGCAGGGACTCAAGCTGGAAGGCAATGATAGGAGACTTCAGGGTATTCTATCAGAGACATCTGTTTTACTGAGCGTCGGGTCAGCTCATTAATTCCTTCCTGAGAAAATATCTGAAGAGATGGGGCAAGATGGAATTCTGAGAGCAGAGGCGATGCATGAATCACGAGCACAAGAGTGAGGTCCTTAATTCCAGTTAACTCCCAGGGGCTGGATTCTGCATGCCAGCTCACAGATGTCTTTAATCTCAATCTTCTACCTGGCTAGACTGGTTTACATAGTAACAACCTTCTTTTCTTTGTTGGGGAAGAGACAAGTGCCTCCTTTCTCCATGGTCAGCAAGGGCCACTTAGTTTTGTAGGACCATGGAGATTAGGAGGTGAGCTGGTTCTGGGCAATAGGAGAGTCGAGGTTGATTCCTGGGTGGAAGTCTCCTGGGACAGATACAGACTGTGGACAGAAGAGTGGAAACAAGTGTCCTTCCGATTAAAAGACAGTTTTGAGAATATTTCTTAGCGATGGAGAGATGGCTCAGCAGTCAAGAGTGCTTGTTGCTGCTCTTTCAAGGGACTGGAGTTTAGTTCCCAGCACCCACACTGGGCATTGTTTGCAACTTTAGTTCCAGGGAGATCAATGTTCTCTTCTGGCTTCTGAAGGCACCCAGCACATGTGCATACACACACATACATAAGAATAAGTAAATCTAAAGAAGAGAGTATTTCTTCTTCTTGACAGAACAATGCCAGATGTGGATCAGTCACTAACTAACATCTGACATAACCCAACACTTTGAACTAACTTAGGCTACATTAAGTTATGAGTAGGAAAGTATCTAAATTATTTTTAATTAAACTTTTTTTCTAGCACAATAAAATAAATAAAATAAAATAAAGAACCATTCACTTTCCATCAAAATTGTGTTTTAGGAAATGTATTAATCCTGTTTTGACCTTATAACTCATGCTTTGTGTTTCTGGATCTCCGCTATCAAATTCTTGCCAAGAAAACAAAACAAAACAAAACAAAGCAAACAAACAAACAAAAAAACAACCTGCATCTGGCTGAAATGGGATTTCTGTGGTCTACATTCCAGAGAAGGACACAGTAATTTTTATGAAGTAATCACATTATTTTCCAGCTCTTATTTATTTTTATTCAGCTCAAACTAACTGTCATATCAGAGAAGTCATAAAATAAGCTAAATTATAACTTCAACAGACTTGTACTTGTGACTAAGTGGACTCCTAATTTTTATCAGTAATTACTATAAATAAACCTTATTTAATACTTTCCTATTATATATGTGTATGGACAGTATATATAATAGTGGCTCTGTTTAATATACTTAGAAAAACAATTTTTTTGTCTTTTAACTACCAATTGTCATGCTCTGCTTCTTGTGCCTTTTTAAAAGGGGCTCATAAGAAAGCATTCTGTCAGGAATAGGGTCAGGAGAGGTTTGTTGTAGCTTTAGAGTGCAGCCTCTTACATCATATCATCCATCATGAGTGTATACTTTGTCAGTGTTGTTAAGCAGTTTCCTTCCACATTGAAACATTCTATTCTGCAGGTAAATGGGTTTGTTTCGTTTTGTTTTTGATTTTTTTGGTTTTTTGTTTGTTTTTGAAACAGGGTCTCTCTGTAGTTCTGGTTGTACTGTAACTCCCTATATGTGGACCAGACTGGCCTTGAACTCACAGAGATCAGCCTGCCTCTGCCTCCCAGCTGCTGGAGACTAAAGGTGTGTACCAACCATATTCAATTTAAAATTTGTGATTGGTTTTTGTTTTGATGTCTGTGCACCATGTACATGCATTGCCCATGGAAGCCAGAAGAGGGCAGCAGATCCCATGGAACTGGAGTCACAGAAGGTTGTGAGCCATTTGTGGGTGCTTGGAATTGAATCCTGATTCTCCGGAAGTGAAGTCAGTGCTCATAACTACCAAGCTATCCAGCCCTGCAGGTAAACTCTTTAAGACAAAAGGTAAACAACTCAAGATAGCTTCAGAAAGGAAGTCTCTGACCAGATTTACTGGGCTCCTCCCTCCAAAGAGTAAAGACTGCTGAGGGTCAGTCTCAGACAAGCCAAGCTTCAAAGACTCTTGAGACCAGACCAGCTGCCTGGAAGAAGCAGAAACCAGAAGCTACCTGGAAGAGGGTTAGACCAACTGAGATACCGGGAAAGTACACTCTGCATCCTGTTGAGCTGCCTACAGACTGCGCAGTGGCTCCAGATCCCCAGCTTTGTGAGCTGTCACCCATGCTTCAGTGGGCTTCAGTATTGCAGCTGTCTGAGTCATTTCTGCTCCTTTACCGCCCCCCCCACACCTGTATTCCTATACAATTCATTGTTTCACCAATTATATTTTGGTGGTATCCAAACTTGGGTCAACCATGGACTCTCCGGATTGAGTACATGTGTGTGTTGTGTCTCACCAGGAAAAGTCTTGCCGCACAGTGATCAGAAGTTAAACTGCTATCAGCTGACAGACAACTTTATACCTTTTGTCTTCATCTGTAACCACAGCATGCCCATGACAAAATGGGAAGTAGGGACAGGCGGGCTGTCAGGAGGCTCTGATCAGCTTGTCTGGAGTACAAACTGGTATCAGCAGAAACAAGGAAGGCACCACCTCAGCAAGGTGAAAGGGGAAACTGAGTCTACAAAGTTGTCCAGTGACCTCTCCACATGCAGGCTTTAACATTTACTCACACATACTAAACAAATAATCTTTAAAATGTGCTTGTTAGCCTTAAAGGGTTATCTCTAGATATTTAACTGCTTTCAACTTATAGAACCATAAAAGCAGCCAGGGATATTCATACATGTGTGTGTGTGTGTGTGTGTGTGTGTGTGTGTGTGTGTGTGTGTGTATTTTTCTACCCACATTAAAAAAAAAAAAAATGGTTGGTTACTCCCATAACGTCTGTGTCACTTTTGTACCAGTGGGCCTATCTTGTAGGCAGGTTGCTTACTGTAGCTCACAGGGTTAATAGCTGGGTCAGATTGATGGCAATGGTTTTCCTCCAGTAATATGTGTAGCACCTTAGTCACAGAGAGTGAAACTTCTTGTTGGGCATCAGCTCGGTTTCTCCATGTTCAATGCCGTATGTGGTGTCTTTGTCAATAGAGCCTTACCATCAGGTTGTGGAGAGTAACCAATAACCTTGGCAAAAGCCTATGATGTTTGGTGAAGGGGGGGTGTCTATGGGACCCCTTTGGCCAACACCTCAAAAAGATGTAACCTATTCCTGGTATTGAGGATTTTATTTGGTAGCACATGGTATCTAGTTGTGAGTGTTGTCTCCTCCACTGTATGGTAACCGTATTTAAACTCCTTTTATAATATGTATATTTTAGGATGCTTCTATAATAGTAGGTTTCCTATGACTTCAAAAGTTAGTGTTTGTTGTCCCTCCCTATGTTCCCCCTCCCCTTCTTCTTCTCATTTAATCTTCCTGTTCTAATTTTTTGATGTTGTTTTAATTCCATTGTCCCTTTACTGTATTGTTTTCCTTCTTTGGAAGATGCCCTCTTCCCTCCTATTCTCTTACTAGGCACCTTACCATTGTGGTCACTCTGATTGAAACACAGGCATTTGAAGTTTAAAACTTAACATCGACACGTAAAGCAGGCAATGTTTACCTTCCTGGGTCTGGGTTCCTTCAGTTTAGAATGATTGCTTCTAGAACTAGTCATTTACCTGAAAATTTTATTTTTCTTGACAGCTGAATAATAGTCCATTGCGTAAATCTACTACATTTTTGTTAGCCATTCATCAATAGACAAACATCTAAGCTGTTCCCAATTTCTGGCTTTATGAGTAAAATAGAAATGAATGTGAATGAGCAACTCTCCCGTAGAACTCAAACCCGACACTGTTAATGAGGCTAGAACCCATGAACTGTCTATTCTCCCTAGGGAGAAACCTACTACTATTCTATGAAAGGAATATGGCAATAAAATAACTTATAAGACATATTGCTATACCCACAGATCAGAGCATTGCTCAGCCCTCATCAGAGAAGCTTCTTCATGCAGTAGACTGTGATTAACACAGATATGCACAACTGGACCATGTGCAGAAAGTCTCCGGGGCACTCAGCCTTAAATGGAGGTCATCATCAAACTCTCTCTCTCCAAGGCTCAGGGATCTAGTCAGAAGAAAAGGCAGAAAGGTTGTAAAAACAGAGGTGATGGATGACTCCCAGGAAATGACTTCTTCAAATGCAAGGCTGATGCACATAGGAACTTACAGAGACTGTGACAGTTTACACAAGACTTGCACAATTGTAAGCCAGGCAAAATCCCAGCACAGAGAAGGAGAAATGGGCACAAAGTCCCATCCATAACCAAGAAGCTACTTGCAATTGGTAGCTGCTGGAAGAGAGAAAAAAACACTTTTCTTCAAAGGCCTCAGGGCAGGCCTCACCATCAGGAGTATTTGGCCAATCGGAATCCGTGTGTGTGTGTGTGTGTGTGTGTGTGTGTGTGTGTGTGTGTGCGCGCGCGCGCGCGTGCGCTTTGGTTTGGTTTGGTTTGGTTTGATTTTGGTGTTTTAAGAGAAAGAATATAAAGTTGGGTGGATGCTGGGGGAGGGTAAAGAGTACAATACAAAATATATTGTATGAAAAATTTTTCAAAGAGCAAAGATATAGACTGATGAAATGGAAAGCATTTTTTATGGAACCTAAACATTTTTTTTCTAGATATGCAGCTCAGATTATCTATTTCTGTACAACTGGGCAAGTAAAAGCAAGACATAACAACTGTTTTTGGAAGTAAAAAAAACAACATCAGCTGGTTTTGGTTAATTTTATTTTCAATGTATAAATTGTCAGTATACAAAAGTGCATTTTAATACATTTATTTCTCACAGTATTTCTCAGAGTGTTTTGGAAACTAGAAAGTGAGCATAAGTATTCTGTGGGATTATGTTCAAAAAGTGGCAGATTTTATACAGCATCAATATACCATACAACATGTATGTTCAGGACAGAAATAAGCACTATAAAATGTATAAAAACAGATTTGAAAATACAAATAGAGTATGCTTTAGTTGGAATTTTAAAGATGCTTTTTTTTCTTCTCTTTCCCTTTTACCTCAAAAGTAATAAACACTTTTGAAGATGCATGTATTGTTGCACTTTTGATTTTTTGTTGTACAGTTAATGAACCTGGGATTCTGGATACCTGTTGATCATCAAATTGGCCTTCCAATTCTTTTGTTTCTTCTTCTTTGATTAGTAAAGGTTTTCCCAGAGTTTGGCCAACGAGGTCACAGACTTCTTGAGCTTTGCGCCATGCATTCTCAACAGCAACAAGACAAGCTTGCCGCCTTAGGGATTAAAAGTAAAGATTAGTATGACATTAAAAGAACTGCCACACGTAATAGTTTTATTTAGAATGAATAATTTAAAGATGTGCTTAACTTACCGAAGATTTTCAATAGAACCCTGAGTGTGATAGAACTCAGGCGGGCTGATGACAACAGAGCTATCTAGTTTTTCAACCAGAAAATTACAAATATTTTGCATTTTTCCAAATTCAGTAAATGTAATGCAGACCTGTAAGTGAAATGATACTTGAAATTATTTTATGCCTCATGTAGTTTTAAAATTTTGTTTAAATCTGAGTATAAAAAGTAAAGCCAAGCTGGTGTGGTAGTGCACGCCTTTAATTTCAGCACTTGGGAGACACTCAAGAACACCTCTGTGAGTTCAAGACCAGCCAGGACTACAAAGCAAGTTTCAGGTCAGCCAGGGCTACACAGAAAGATCCTGTCTGAGCCAAATAAAAAAATAGAGAAAGGATGAAAGCAAAGGAGGGAGTAAGAGAAAAAGGGAGGGAGAGAGGGAGGGGTAAAGCCAAATTATAAAATTCTTTATTAGTAACAGATAATGAATATACCAGATAAGAAAAAAAACATTTAATGCTTATAGCTATATTATTTTCTTATTAATGACTTGTGATAATGAAATTTAAAATGATCTAATATTTGTTTATATATTTAAAAGCATTTGGCTAATTTCTAACCCTGATACCATTCCGACTCAACTCTTAGTCTAATTTATTCAATTACATTTCTGATTGGTAGTGAGTCTGTCACCCTTTACTGATACCACTGAGGGGTATGTCCCCTTCTGCTTGTTACGTGCAGAAGTGAATCTATTTCCCTATGCATCCACCTTTAAATACGGAGCAGCAGTCTCCCTTCACCAAAACTTGAAAGCTGTAGTCTTTTAAGCTTTTAATGAAAGACTAACTCTTTTCTGTTAAAGGGACTTTCACAGTCTTAAGCTGTTAAAATGAGTATGTACAGGTTCTAGAGGAGCAGGAGGAACAGAAGAGAAGCTGACCTCAGACAGCACAGACACCTGTGTTTAATCATAAATGTTATCCAATGAAGAATATTGTTCCATCTGGTCTCAGTAAATACTGGTCAGAGCAACAGTCAAGGCATCAAAGATTCAATGGATCACTTTAAATTCAAGATTGGGAACCTCCAAAGCCTAAAGTTTTCCCTTATAGTGAGTCAGTATCTCCAATTTAATCTATCCTCAATGTTCTTTCAAAGACCATTCTTTTAAGATTTACTTACTTTTATTTTATGTGTGTGGGAGTTTGGTTTACATGTGTGTGCTATGACTATGGAAGCCAGAAAAAAGGCATCAGATACTTTGGAAATGGAGTCACAGATGCTTGTGGGCTACTACATGGGTGCTGGGAACTGGACTGGGTTCTCTGGAAGAGCAGCCAGTGTTCTTAATCACTGAGACATCACTCTAGCTCCAAAGACAATCAATATCAAACCTTTGAAGTGCCCAGGCCAACCTCCCCAGATCTGGGCTGGCTGCTATATTTAGAGCGTGCACTTAGAGAGTGCACTTCTTGAACTTCACCATACTAGGCCTCTGTTTAGAGGCTGATGCTTGGTTTAGGTAATCTACCTATGGATCCTTCTGGATTGCCTTCCTTTTGACCAAAGTCAAGGCCTGGCTGCTCCCGTTTCATCCCTGGGAATGAAAGCTGTTGTGTATTATTACTTTACACTGTGTGAAGATGTGTCACTGTGGTTGGTTTAATAAAGAGATGAATGGACAATATTAGACAATATCGAGGCAGGAAGAGGTTAGCAGAACTTCTGGGGAGAGAGAGGTCTCAGGGAAGAAGAAACGTGGAGTCACCAGATGGATACAGAGGAAGCAGGGCATGTAGGAGAGGTAAAAGCCAAGAGCCACATGGGCTAACTTAAGTTATAAGAGTTAGTTAAAAACAAGCCTAAGCTAAGGCTGAGCTTTCATAATTAATACTAAGTCTCTGTGTCATGATTTGGGGCTGGTGGTGCAAGAAAGCCTGCTACAGAGAGCTACACATTCTCCTGTTGTTCTGACAGATCTTATGCTTTACCTTGAACCCTACTAGACTTCTTCCCTGTAACATCTTGGGGCCTTCTTTCCAGACTCCCCTTTGCATGAATCCTACCTGTGAAAAGGGAATCACTTTTGTCCAGTCTCCGGAAAGTGTGAGGAAGAGATATAACCAATGGAATCTTTTATGGTCTTCTCTGTCAAAATCAGTTTTTATGAGAAGGAAGAAGTGAACCCCAGAGAAGTAGTAAGGGGCTAAAATATTTTGTGGATTTTCTTTGCTGTCAGAAAGTTCCTGGGGGGGGGGGGGACACACACAGGCTTCCTGGTGGCTTACTCAGGCAGGAACTGGCTCCACAACATGTACTTTCCCCTTTGCCTTCCTTGGGCAGGACAGATGAGATTCAAAATTCCTGGTCCAAAAGGGTCAAATCCTCTTAGACCAGTTTTAATTAAGACTTACTTGGCCTGAGAAGTAAGGAAGAGGTTTTAAGTTATAGTAGCTTAAAACAGTCCCGGGGTGGGGTGGGGACTTACAAAACGAGGTCAAGAGGTTTTCCCAACTTAACTTGCTTGTGCTTAGAAGAAACAAAACAAACTGCTTTCCCCCATACCAAAGCCAAGGTCACTGGCAAGAATACAAGAACAAAAAGGGGGATGTGTTTAAAATGTCTTCAAAATCACCTGTATAGAAAAGTAAAATCAATATGAGCAATCTAAATTAAAGCCTCAATATACAAATCTATAAATTTGATACTGTGTTCAAACATGTGCAGTGTTGAGGCGTGGGCAACATTCCCCGCCTCACACCATCCCCAGAGGTGGAGAAAGTGGCTATACGCCATCACTGCTGGGAGTCCTTTCTCAGTAAACCTGAGGCATGAATAAAAGGGGCAATGAGGAAGCATGGCATCACTCCAGTCCTGGGAGAGGGGAAAGCGGAAACCCAAAGACCTTCAGTGGCCTGTGGGCACACCCACCCTTGGATGGAAGGAGGTATTTGAGGGGACCAGGTGTCCCCAGCAGTCTCGGTAAACAGGTTGGGAGAAAGGCCTCCAGCCGACCCTATCTGTTCTCCCACTCTGACTCCATTGGTTAAATTTGAGTGTGAGGCCCCAGCATGGTGTGTTGACCAGGCCGTTTGTGGGGATGCACATGGAGCCGAATGGGCCCCAGTTTCCACCTCTGGGAAAGACAAACAGCAAGAAGCCTGGGAGAGATAGCCACAGAACAGGAAAGGAGGCCCCCAGGCTCTGGAGTACTGAGAACCTGGCAACACCCCAACATCCTGGTCCTGTTCTGTGCCAGCACCTGACGATGACAAGATTCTAGTTTCTGTTGGTTGTGCCCCATCACTCCCGGGGCAAGGCCCTTAGGACACCGCAGCAGTTGGGGAAAGGCAGATGAAGGAGGTGAATGCAGAAAAGCCTGAGGAAGCTCTGGCAGTGAGGCTGCTTGAGGCAGAAGGCACTGACTTAAAAGTGTTTGGGGTGGAACTTGTTGGCACTGCCATGGCGCAGCAGCAGCAGCAGCAAACAGAAGAGAACCACCTAGCTCATGAGTACACTTCACAGTACTGCTGCCCATTCCCTCAAAGAAGCTGTTGACAAAAGGCAGGCAACATTCCCAGCACACATGCAGTCAGGGTGCCACAGACTGGGATGTAGTTGTCCAGCCCATCCCCAACACAGCCACCAAACTTGGGTGCAAACATGCCAGAATAATGTGTACAGCAGTAGACTTTGCCCTCTTTCTTACAGAACCTTTCCACACTGGAGACCTAAGTGCTCAGCACCTCACAGAAGTTCCTAAACCTAATCTCCCGTTGGCCATGGATGCAGAGGAAGTGCTCAGGGTCACATGTTTTCCCCATGATGGTCACTATGGCAGCCATGGAGAAACCCCAGCTTGTTCCAGTCAGACAGAAGATTCCCCAGCTTGCTGTGTAGCCGGCTCCTGGGCTTTAGAGGCCCCTGGAGAGTAAGTTACTTGCTCAGTCTTCTCCTGGGCCAAGAGCCCTTCTCCCCTTTCTAAATAATTAGATCTGTCCCATCCTTCACAAATCTCATTTAATTTTATTACTGGTTGCTCCTCAACTCCCAGGCCCGTGGCAGTCACCTGACCTGTCTCTGACGGACAGACCTGCTTTCCCAGCAATATGCCATCTTTGGAGATGGACTCCTTTAACTTGGCACAACACCCATGCAATTTCAGCCATGTTCTTGCATAATTGTTTTACTGAGTACTGTTCTGTCATGTGGATAAAACCACAGTTTGTATGAAACATTTGTTTCCAGTTTGAGGCTATTATAACTAAAAGATGCTTTTCAAAGTGGTTGGAGATATTTTGCATTTCTGAATGTATTTTTTACTCAGTTTGCCAATTTCTATTTTTAAAGCCTAGCTAGGATTTAGAATAGGATTGTAATAAATCTATGTATAACTCACTTTAGGGAGAACAAGTATTGATAATGTTGGGTCTTCCAAATCATAAAGAAGATACATTTCTCCACTTACTTAGGTCTTTTAGAGATGTTTTATAGTCTTTAGCATATTTTATCAGCTGTATCCCTTGACATTGAAAATTTATGTCTACAATTGCTAATAGACTTTTTTCACATAACATTTTCTAGATAGATGGTGGTATTGTTCCTGAGTAAAGAGTGTTTTACTCCTTCCTTCTCAGTTTGGATATTTTTATCCTTGTCCCCTACCCAAACTACACTGACTAGAAGAATTTCAAGTATAATGTTAAAAAGAAGCCATAAGAGGAGCCATCATCTTTATATGGTACCTGGTCTTAAGCACAAAGTATTGAGTATTTCACCATAAAGGTATAATGTTACCCGCAGGTTTTTTAAATAGATGCCCCTTATCAAATTAATTAATTTTGACACAGTGAGACACAGTCTCACTATGTAGACCAGGCTGGCCAGAAACTCACAGAGATCCCTAGTGCTGAGATTAAAGTTATATGCCACTATACTGGGCTTGCAAAGAATTAAGCTATTTTTATTAAACATTTTTATTAAGAGTTGATTTTATTAAATGCCTCTTCTGAATCCACCAAAATGAACCTGTCATTTTTCTCTTTTGGTTTCTTAACAGGGTGACTCAGAATGATCAATTTTTTCAAATGTTAAACCAACCTTTTATGCTTGGGATAAATCATACTTGGCTATTATGGATTATCTTGT